ATCTTGGCCAGGATAGCCCCTAGCCTTGTCTCTGACAGAGGCTGGGAACAGATGCTTCTATGCAAGTCATGCAAGGAATGGAGCATGGAGGGTGTGATCCTTCCAGGCTCTTGGCAAGCATCCACAGAGGACTTCTCTGAGCCACAAAGCATAGGAAGCATTCATATGCCTGTCTCCCAAGAGCCCAAAGTGGTCTCTCCCTCTTTCATTTAAATGAATGAAGCTATAAATACACTTAATGTGTTTTGCTTTTTTTAATCTGGTGAGAAGAAAGTAGAAAGTCACCCTATGAATATTTCACAAAACACTCTGGCACAAATACGTGAGTTAAAACCCATATTTTATTTTTTTTTCACATATTTGCACTTTAATGATCACAAGTGTAAGATCCTGAGTGTAGATATTATGTGGAGATTTCAGTCATTTGTTGGAGTAGTTTCAGTATTAATTTCCCAGTGAAAATGTGAAAATTCCAGATACAGAAGAAAGGTTTTTAAGGACAATCACTGCTTTCCACCATATTACATTTCAGCATCTCTCTTTTTTAGAGTGGCTTTTTATATGCTTTTTTTTTTTTTTTAAATGCACTGTCCCTGTTCTTAGGACTCTGATTTCCTTCTTTTGTTCTCTTCCTCACTCCACCCCTACCTCCAAAAATAATGTGGCTCTGTTAACCGGTGTGCCTCTGTTAAAGTGATATGAAATACAGAGAACAGATAACACAGAGTGCACTGTGTGATAGCTAATGCACATCTGGGGTGTGGTAGCGAGACTGTGTACAGTGTGTTTCTAAGTTTAGCTCAGTAGCTAAAGCAAGTGGCATCTCTTCACTGAACTTAAAAGGGAATATGGAGTCAAGCCTCAGAAAGTCATTCAGAATTTTTCAGCACTTATTTTATAAATACATTTTACTTTCCTAAAAGAAAAGCAAGTTCCCTGTGAACCATTATACCATGGGCACCTCTCACAGTCCTCCCCATGCTCTGCAGGCTCCTGGGTTTGCTGAGGAGTGAACGGAATAGCGAAGCTTTTCTCCCCATGCTTCAATTCCAGACATGCCAAGCTGCACTTCCAAAAGAATAAACATCAGTCAATTCTTAATGAGAACTGCAGGCACTCGGCAGCTCTGGCTGCCAGCTTACTTTAAAGACTTAAATATAGTTTTAGTTTATGCTTCTATATGTAAAGCTTTTGATTGCCACTGAGAACAAACAAACAAAGAATGAATAGAAAAACACACAAACAAGCAATCAAACAGCCCCAAAGCAAGTGGGTTCCCTGGTCCGTTCACTTTGGCCAAAACAGATGTTTTATCCTGCTACTGAAAAGTTTTGGTCCTTCTAACAGCAGCATTATGAAGCAGCCTGCTGACCCCCTTACTGGCAGGTAGAGTTAATGTTGTCTGGATATCAGCCTCACTTCTGTCACCTCTCCCTAGTCATGAAGAGCAGCTGAAGGGACTTGGCCATGGCCCAGCCTGGCAGCAAGGCATGCAGGCACTCCTGGGTGTCCATCATGCATCACATCTCTGCTCTGCTATGCAAGCAGGTGGAGAGGAGGGGATCCTCCTGGCTTTCACCTGCAGTTAGTTACCCTGCCAACTTAATTTCTGTCCAGCTAATCAAGACAGCGTCTTTTCCACTGGCTGGTCTGTACCCTCTGTGAAAGTAGCAGATGATTCTTGGTGGAAATCTGATCTTTTTAATCTCCATGGTTATGTTTTGCCTAATGAAAACCAGCAGTAGAGTAGGACCGGGGATTATAGTTATATTTTTTCCTGATAGGAGAATAATGATACCTGACAGAGTCTGTCATTTTGGAATGTTGTTTTCTAAATAATGTCTTTCTTAAGATGTGCCTTAAGAGGAGTAACTGAAGGTGGACTTGGTGGCAAAAACAAAAATGGGGGACAGAGAGTGAAGCTTGGGGAGAACAGCCAGTTCCTGATGGCTCTTAATGGTCTACCTGTTCCCCGTAGCCTTGCACAATTTTGGCATTAGGGTGATTGGTGCTGTGGCCAATGTGTGTGTACAAGCCGTGCCGAGGTGCTGGCCAGACACAGAAACCAGGCAGCTGCTCAGCTCCCGCTGCATCTATCCATCAGCCACCCACCTTTGGGAAACTGGCAGCTACTTCACATCCTGCAGATTTTTATCCCACTGTCAAGTTTGCTTTAAACTGATCAATAGTGCATTATTATGGAGGAAGTGACAAGCAGACAGACAGACAACATGGTTTCATACGCCTTTGTTTCCTTTGGAAACCAGGCTAAAAATGACGCAATGATGAACAGAGCTTAACTGAGAAGCATGTTACAGAAGAGAGCTGGTGGAGAGTGAAACAAATGTGTCCTATTGTTTTTTCTCATGTCTGAATACTGGCAACAGTATCTCAGACTATTTCTAGTGATTTGCTCACTTGACACAGCGCATCCAGATGTATGTCCTTACTGGTCTCGGTGAAAATTAACATCCTGGTAATTTTAAACCCTAAAAACCACTGGGGACTCCAGCAGGGCTCGGATGGTGTCCAATAGCATCTTAATCCCTTTTTTCTCCTTGCAACTTCTCCAAAGATAATAATGATGTGTTCTATTTAAATAAACAGAAGTACTGCTCTCAGTGCTCCTGACTACTATCAAAGCATTCATGTGAGTTCATGATCTTTGGGCTTCCTCACTGGAGAGGTATTCAAGAGGTCTAACAGAAAGAGAAAAACTAAAATACACAATATTGCAAAGAAAATTGTCAGCACAAATGAAAAACAAAATAAAAAAACTTTTTTTTTTCCTTTTTTTTTTTTTTTTTCCCTTTTTTCCTTCCATGGGCAGAGCTCATGGAAGAATAATTTTTGTTTTGACAGTTCTGCTGAAAAATTTGAAAAGAAAGTGAAGGTAGGTTGAAGCAAAATGAAAACAAAACTCTGCCCCAACCTTTCTGTCATTGCAAGTCGGGTAGAAATGTTTTGGCTTCCCTTCTGGGCCATTCAGCCCCCTTGTTTAACTTTGACAGAAAACAAAGCATTACAATGTATTAGGATGAGACCTATTTAAGAGTCACCAAAACATCTTCCCAGACTTGAAACTTTGAAATCCCATGGCACAAAAGAGTTCTTAAAAGTGGATATACTTTGAAGAGCTTAACGGGCTAACCTGAAAACTATTCCTAGATTTAGTTTGATTTTTAATTGAGTAGATACACAGTAGAAGAAGTACCTGAGATACGACTAAAACTACCATAAAACAAACATGAGTAGCTACAAGTTTTGCCATAGATTCCTCCAGTGCAGTTTTCTCTTTTAGGCAGCTGGCACAGGAGCTGTGGAGCTGTTAGAGCTCAGCATCACCAGGGTGCAGCAGGAGGGGACCATGCATGGCTGTGGCAGTGGGGTCAGCCCGAAGCATGAAGGCTCAGGCACATACACGTGGTATACATGGTCTGTGCAGTAGCTGGGAACATGGAGATGTTTTTTGCGCAGATCATTGCAGAGCTCAGTGTCCCTGGCCAAATGCAAAACCTGCAGAAATTCCTCATACGTGTGCTTTCTGTATCAGTGAAAACATATTAATTCCACATTTGGAATATTGTGGATTGTAGTTACTTCTGCTCAGGTCTTCAAATGAGAGTAGATGAGAGATGGAAGCAAATACACCTCCAATGGAATCTATTCCTAATGGTGATTTGCACTTCCATGGATCCCATCCCATGAAAAAGATTTATGGATTCTGGAAAATTACACTCCACAGTCCTTCCCTGATCAAAACAAATTACATTTGACAAAAGGAGAATATAAGATCCTCTATATCAAATGTTAGCAGAACAGGCTGGAATTGTTTGTTGATGATATATTCAGAATATACAACTTTGTGGAATGGTCTACAGTACAAACAGGAAACCTCCTGTCCCAGTAAGTTCTTCTCTGCTCCTTTGGCCGCCACCACTCAGCCTAAGTCCGTCACCACCACTCCCCACAGTCTCAGCTGCAAAAGGCAGTGATTAACTTCGTATCATTCACTCTGTGCAGACAGTCATAGGTCAGGCATGTTGAAGGGCATGGTTTTGAAAGTTTGAAAGGGGCTTGGCTGAGTGCTGTACCTAAGCCTATTTAATTCCAAACGGGAAGTAGGTATCTGACTTCTGTTTCCCAGAAAATTCTTGGTCATGCATCATCTATTTACGTTTCCAGATGTAAAACTATCCATGTAAATTATGCTTATTGAGATAAAAATTGAGTCTTTTGGGTATGTTGGTGCTTTGACAATACAGCCAGTAGATGACATTCCCTAGGCCAAGTGGAACACCCAAGAAATCCTGGTTTTGAGAAGCACATATAACATGCTCATCATTGTCTCAGACCCCTCCACATAAGTGGCTAGCTCTCATGCATGCACAGTTTGAAAATGCCCCCTCCCTGTCTCCTGACTTGGATTCATTTATGCAGCAAGAACTCCCTCTCTTCCCATGCATGCAGCTACTTCATATAGGAACGTCTATGTGTTCTGCCCAGCTGTATGTGTTTGAGTATGTTGCCAGACAGAACCATTCCAATGAAATCATTGGACTGTTATTTGGAGGACTAAAATTTCACCCACTTCATAATTTATTTTACTCTCTCCAGAGCCAGTCCATCACTTACCCACTGGAATGCATTGCCAGCTGTCAGAGCACACTAATACTCATTGGCTAGCCAAACTTCAAAGTCTGGTAAGCTGTCCAAGTGGTGGTGGTGGGGGGGGGAAATTGGCTGATGAGTTCTTCACAGCAGCTCACTTGCTTGCTAACCAGGCATACACAAATTCCTGTTTCCCGTACACTGCAGCAGCCAAACAAGAGCAGAAAACCTGCCTGCTGTGCTCTCACCTCTTTCAGACAGCACGCCTGAGTCTCTCACAGGACTGTGGGAATGGGAGCAACTTCAAGCTTTTGCGTCTCTGTGATGATGGAGGTGGGGTGGTTTCTCTATTAAATGTAGTGTTCTGTCCCATCTAGAGAGAGACTTAACCTGACACAGAGAGGAAGCAATCCCAGCAGTGGGCAAGTACAAATGGGAAAGAAAAAGAAACTGTCTCAAAGTCAGCAAAAAGAGAGTTTTGGTGATTGCAATCTCAGTTTTCCAATCACCTTCAGCTTTATTTGGCCCTGTGGCCTCTGTGCCATTTTAGAGGTTTTGCTACCATCCTTGTTTTACAAAGTAGGGTTTCTTAACCTATTCTGTTTGATAGGTTGCAGAGGTGGTTGTAATGGTGGTGGCACACAGGGTTTTCTCTCTGTGCATGGATTTTCCTTCCAGCATCCTGGGAACCTGGTTTACGAGCAACAGAAGGATTTGGAAATCAATGTCATTAATACGTAGGCATGAAGAATTTGTAACGAAGTTATTACCAAAGCTGAGAGGGACATAGAGGGTTTTGCTTGTAGCTCTTATGTCTGCAGGGAAGGGCAGGATTTGAAACCTTTGTGGATCACCACGCTAGGCTTGGTGAGAAGAAAGATAGGAAGGAGGGAAGAGGAAGGGTGTTTGGAGAAAAGGCTGTATCCTCTCAGAAGCTGGAGGACATTTGCACTGGGTCCTTGGTGTGCCACCTTTGCCAACACACTGTTAAAGCAAGTTGGGTGCTCATCCTTCAATCACTTTCTGCTCTGGATAAATTTGGTCAAAATCAGGCATTCCTGCTGTAACCCCAAGAGCTTTGATCTTACCTCAACTGTATTTTCATGAGGAGGGTGATAGAAAACTGTTGTCCTTCCTTTAGCGATTTTCAGAAGATTAATGGTAACTGCTCACCACCTCATTTATTTGCAAGTGTAGCATAAAGAGAGCCCTGGTTTCATCAAAGGAATTGGCAACAGGTTATATGTTACACATAATCTCCACCAGCTGCAAATGCAGCTATCTGATATCTTATACTTCAGTTATGAGATGATATCTGTCTTCCTCCTTTACGGTTTTTGTTAGAAATTAATATTTCTGAGTAACTTTCTAAAAAAGTAAAAAAGAGAAAAATGAACCCACTTCCTGCCCCCCCCCCCGCCATTTTCTGCTGTATGCTCATTGCCCTTTTGACCATCACTTTCTAGTTCCTTTGTGTAGCCCTCCCACTCAGTCCCTTCTGCAGCTTGATGAAAGACTTATTTCCAGGCTGAAGCTTTCTAAATTGTATTCATTAGCAATTAAACATAAATCACAGAAGAGTTTGAGTTGGAAGGGACCTTAAAGATCATTCAGTTGCAACCCCCTGCCATGAGCAGGAGCACCTTCCACTAGATAGGTGGTAAATCTCTGAGCTTGTTTTGTTGATTTTCTGTGAAATAAAACATACACTGGACTTTGGTGGCTCTTGTCTGAGCCACCAAAGGGTGTTATCAAAATGTCAAAACATTATATCAGGTGGCTGAATTTCTTGAAATTGTATTAATCTCCATATACTTGCTTCGGTTTATGTATGTCATCAAAAACTGTGTTTACATTTTTGTCTCTTTCAAGTTGTCCTTGGTGCTTTTCTTTTGGGAAGGAAGGAGTGAAGCAAGAAAGCAAGGAAGGAAGGAAGGAAGGGAAGGAGGAAACAGCATCCCTTCCTTTCGAACTAGAGACCACATTAGCTTGGGGGCAGCTGTGTTTCTGAAAGCCTGGTTTCATTTCTGCAAACCAGAGCACTGAATGGATCAGCTAACACAGGCAGAGGCTTGTTCCGGTGATGGCTCTTTTAGGGGCTGTCTTGAAAAGTGGTGTCTATTTTTAATATCACTGCACACCTGTGCCCTTGAGGCTTGTTTTCCACTTGCAAAAGGGAAGCAAAGAGCAGAGCAGTGGATACAGGTTCATTTTGGGGGAGAGGGAATGCACATCAAGGGGACCAGGCAGCATGGGCTGATCAAGGGGTGCAATTTTGTTTGCCCTCTAATTAACCTTGATGAAAAATGTTGGTTTTGCTTATTTTGAAGACAATTTAATTCTTTCTTCACAGGCTGTGAATGTCTCTAGTCCATTTAAAAACACCTTAGTGCAACTTAGTTTTTCTGGCTCAGTTGTACCTTAGCCACTGAAGGATGCAGGACAGAGATTTTGCATGCAGTGCTTGGTCAGAGGCTCCAGAGCTGTTCCTGCCTGTCATTGTCCTGATGTTAACAGAAGATAGGAGAAAGTGAAGGTTATAGGCACGGATGAATCATTTAATTTCCTCTTTAGTCCCTGTCCTATGCTTCAAACACTGGGAAACACCCAGAACAGCAGAAAAACACTGGGGAGGAGGGTTCCTATATTCCCCAGAAATTTTAGATACAAAGCCAGTAGCAAAGTTTTCTTGCATGGGTCCTACCAGCCAGTCCCTACTTAGACGTAACAGTCCTGCAAGAGACACATGTATATTAAGTCCACAAGGGAACAGTCTCTGATGGTGACTGCTGATACTCCCTGTGACTTCTTCACCTTCAGCATACCACACTTGCATTTCAAAAGCCTGAACAGGGAACCCATAGTCAACCAATCCTACCACAAGCAGAGGCAGTACAGAGTTATGTCTAAATCATGCCCCTCACACCCCAAAAAATGTATCGAGAAAACATTCAGATCAGCTAGTTATTTAATTTTATTCATTTAAAGTACTTTTGCTGAAGATTTGTACTGCTCTGCTCCAAAATATGCATGTTGGAATTGATCATTGTGCAAATGGACTATGGATGAAGACAGACCAACCTTTTGTTTTGGCATAGAAAATTACTACATGTGCTATGGCAGTATGAATTTGCACTGTTGTGTTTTCTGAAATCTTGCACACCCATTGAATTGCATACAAAGTTGCATTTTTCAAATTATTTGACAAATGCAAGGATTTATTTTTACCATGCCCTGGAAATCAAAATTACATTCCAGTTTTACAGAATAACACTCTCTATATCCTTTTGACTCTCCTAAACATAATCTGTTCAGTATCAGGCTTTTAATTCTTCATTGGGAAATAGCCATTTGGCTGATACAGTCCTGAGAATGTCTGGACAACTGTCTGGATAATTTCAGCCTGAAATTGCTCTGAGAGCTATTTGCAGCTCAGTCAGAAAGATTTCAGTCTGCACTCAGACACTCTGGATCATCAGAACACAATAAGAGCAAATGGGCCCCACTTTCTGACAGATCTATTAAGTCATGGAGCAGTGGTCATTTGGATGGTCTTTTCATGGAAACTGGAGAACTGCAGTGTGTCTAAAGCTACACCGGAGCTATACAGTAACTGAGGGACTCAACTGCCTTTTTCCTGCCTCCACAGTATCTGTCAGAGAGCAGCTTTGGGAGTTTATTAGTTAAGGGCAAGCATAGAGCTTTAACACAAAGTGTGTCTGTCACTTCTGTCTTCCTCACACCTTCCAGAAGGGCTTGCACACAATTTGAGTATTTGCCTTACATAGGATACCTCTCGGAGGATGAATACCACAGGGATATGGGAAGCTTTCTATGCTTTTTTCTTTATTTTTCTTTTAATCTTGGGATTAACCGTCATGCACACATGGCATTTCAGATCTCATTGATTAGCAGCTGGCAAGCAATTTGCTACGTGACAAGGAATAGCTAGTCAATCAGCACCACTGAAGGAAATGCATTTCATCTTGCAGCTCTAAAATGTCATGTCTGTTGACATTTACATTTCAGCTTTTAAAAATCATTCACAGGCACAGTCTTGGGAGGGCTTTTTCGTTCACTGCTGGGTTTGAGTGGGAGAATTTGCTACTCAAGTGCTCTCTCCATACAGCCATGACCATTTAGGAAGTTTGTCTGCAAAAGATGGAACAGGCATGGGATCTGGTTCTCCCTGCTCCACTTAGGAGCTTGAGTGCTTCTTACGTTTCTAGCTGAAGAAGGGCTGCTTTGCTTTTCCAAGGTTTCACACAGCCTCAGCACAGTCTTACAAGAACTTCTCAATCCCCTATCCCTCCTTTCAGAAGAGGCAATGGCAATGATTAATCAAGTATATATGGTTATTATAATTAATTCTTAGTGTGTGTAGAGGTATTCCACTGACTTTCTTCCCTTTGATTCCTACTGATTGAAACTGGCATACAATTTAGTTTAGACTGTAGTTTTCATTTATTCTTAGCTGGAAACAATTTGAAGGAAACAAAGAAGAAAGTGTGAGAAGCGTGTTAATTAATGAGACAATGGGAAGAGTGATACAATAGAGAAAAGGACCTGGAAGTAATCTTCCGTAGTTTACACGCAGTTAACGATTCCCTTGGGAATCAGTTAGGAGCCTGCAAATAACATGGGTTTTGTCATTTACATGTCTCCCGTATGGACTATTTACATAATTTGTCGCTACAGTTTTCCCTTCTCTCATAAAATATTTTGCAGTTGCTGGTGTATGTTGTGTCTGGTTGTAATTACTTGATTTCCATATTGCATTAGGCAATGATGTGAATGTTTCCCTGGTCTTGCCTCGTGTTGATGTGCAAGTTGTGAAGTGTTGGTATTTTGAACTGAATTCATAAGCCTCTGTAGATTTTTCAAAGGCATCTTTTGGTCCAGAAATGAAAAAAGGGAGGATGTGGGAGTAATTGGCTAATCACGGAATGAAACTATTCATAATTGTTAAAACCTTACCAGTGCCATGGTTTGCTTCTCTTATCTGAACAATGTGAAGTTCTCTTCAGTGCCTTTTCTCAGAAAGAACGTAAAACATAACATTAAGGGAGAGAGAGAGGTTTGCTTTGAGATGATGAGATGGAACAAAAATATAGCGGATGTAGCACAAAAGAAATTTTCAAAAGCATGTTTTTTTTAAAAAACCCAGTCTACTGGAAATTAATTTCAGCTCAGTGAAATTTATACATGTCCAAGAGAAAGAACAATAAAAGAGGATGAAAAATACGTTCCTGCACACATCCTTTTGCTTTCTAAAGGAGGGAGGTGGGGAGAGCAGAGAGTGAGGAGAAAGGAAACCTGAAGCGGAAACTTGACATTTTTTCATTTCCACACTGAAACAGCCTTTAAAGTTTGTTTTTTTTTCCTTTTTAGTACTAATGACTATTATGTTTTATTTCACCTCAGAATGCTCATTTGAATTAAAATGATACAAACGATACAAAACTCTGTCAGGGGACATATACAAGCATCTTTACTATTCTGCAGTGCAGACTTTTAATTTTTTTAAATGCATTGTGACTTTAAGATCTCAAAATTTGACACAATATTGTGCTTGTGGTAAATTCCCTTCATTATACACAATAGTGGTAGCGAATGGAGCTCAAGCTCCTGCAGGGCCCTTCCTGTGTCGCCAGTGCTCTGACCAAGAGGAGTCCAGAAGACTTTGGGGTAAATGTGTACCCTATTGTGTTTCATTATTTAGGTTCTTGTATATGAGCTAATAATTAATGCCCCACTCTTGCAAAAATTTATGTAAACCCATAACTTTACCCTGTGAGTAATCCCATTACTACCACATCACTCTGCTGCACGGAGGGAACCTTCCCAGAAATGCTGCAAGTGCGGTAATGGAAATGTTATTTCAAAGTTAATTATCCTGGCACTAAAAAGAAAAATAAAGGGAAAGAGTATCAGAGAGAAATTCTTGCAGAACTTGAAGCATTAGAGTGAAATTTCATTCCCACTGATTAAGAGGAGATGTCACAAATCATGCATTGCTTGAAGTGCTAAGGTTTTACACTTGATCTTTGTAGGCAGGTAGTCATTTGTAACCAAACAGTTCTGCTGTGCCTTTGTATTTGAGAACTACATCTTGAGCACGGATTGTTTCTTCAGAATGAACACTGACTTATGTTGGTATATGCTCCATGGATACAACAGGGAAAAACACAGTTTAAAACCTTCTATCTTTCTGGGGTTTTATTATGGAAGATCAAAAACTTCTCTGGTGTCACATTCTGCCTTGGTTTACACTCTGTAATCTTATCAGCTTCAGCGGGACTGTCTGAGGTGTAGGTCATGACAGGGTGTTGGCTTTTTTTTCCTAGCCCCTGCTGGTTCAGAGAAAGCTCTCCCATCTCAAGGGAATATGTTGCCCCGTCAAATACAGAGCCATCTCTGGAGCCTTCAGGATAGGAAAGAAAAAAATTAATTAAACCTCATGTCTTTCATCTCAGGAAGGATGCTCTCTGTCTAGCACATAAGTCTCAATGTGAAGATGGAGGGAGAACTGGGCCTTTTTGTTGTCTGGCAAATAATATTTTATATATTTTATTATATATTTTATTGTCCTCTTCATAGTTCTGTAGATTTGGGGAAGTCTTCACTGTGACTGTGCAAATATTGAAAATTCAGCATGAACTGAATCATCCTCACAGGTGGCAACAGAATATTTTCAGCGTAGAGGGCGAGATATTACACTTGTATTCAGTCCGTGCAGTTGCTGGAAGGTTTGACTGAGGTTTGGCAAGCCACGTACTGAACCTTTACTTTTGATGTGGACGTTATACCATAATGGTGTTAACTTAGTCACATTCATTCACTCCCAGCATAGAGCAAAGAGAGTGCAGGCTTGATTTGTAGCACCTCCAAAGCCTTTTTGGCAGGCGCGGTGTTCTCGATCTCAGAACAGTCCCCAAAAGCTAACATGCTGTTCAGGTTTGGCACGCTGATGCGAATGTGGAGCACCTTCTGACCGGGTTACTTTCCATAGTAGTTGGGATATTGCATCAGAAGAAGTGTTTTGGAGAAGGGCAGTATTGTAGTAGGTGTCATCCCCTGCTGTGTGCCTTTTGGCAACTACAAAAGAAGTGAAAATGCTAGGCCACTCAAAAAAAGAAAGCAGGACTGGTACAGGCCACCTCCCAGTCTTTTCTCTCTCCACTTCAGCAACATGTGCATCCGAAACACTAGGAAATGCCAAACTCTTCGTACCATATGAAAGCTAGAAACATTATCACATCTATTCTGGATGTGGTTTAGGGAGAAAGTGAGGCAGGGAAAACAGGGAATGTATTAAGGAAGATGAGAACAGCCTTTGCACCTTCATTTTATTCTGTTTATTTTTATAGTCAATTACCAAAGAAATCCTGTCTCTGAAAACATAAAGGGGTGATCTGGACCTCAGTGAAAAGAAAGCAAGATCACTAACTTCATTTTGAAGCTGGACAGGAGGCATGTTCTGCTCCGGTTCTCTCAGCCCTGACCACTGATGGGTTTGATGCTGCTCCCTCAGTTTCTGGGCAACCTCAGTATCCTTCATCCAGAACTCATAACAAAAACAGATACTGAGATCAGGCAGTCTGCTGCCTTAACCACGTCCTTGTGGATCTGGGCATTCATAACACCATGTTAAAAACAGCAAGGGCATCCTGCTCTTTTCCCCTGCTATTGAATTTTTCCTGCTCACTGGTAACAGACATTGAGGCAGATGATCTTTTTATAAGGTAATTTCTGCTCTGTGCCTCTTGCCAGCTGCATTGAGCCCTTTCATGTTATTAAAATGCAATTGAACAAGAGCAAGTTGTTAGTAATTTGTCATCTTCTCATCCAAATGAGCAGTCCAGCCTTTCATATCCATTACCATCTCTCTGTTGAGTAGCTGAGCTTTGCTGCACCATTCACTGTTCAGTGTATAACACAACCATATTTTTTCTTTCTCATCTTTCTCCTACCAATATCACTGACATTTTATTTTCCTTACGATGGTGTTGACAGAAAAAATACTATCCCTCCTTCTGCCCTCGCAACAATCCAGCCTTTCCCTTTCCTAAGCTTTTCTTCACCAGGATGGATTGGTAAACAAACTTCCTTTCTGGATTCTTCAGTATTTCTTTGTCTCTGTACATCTTGAATTATAAAGAGCTGATTTATTACGTATTTACTGTAATCTGTCTGGGAAGTTTCTTTTCAATTCACTCTGTTCTCCTTCTTTACAGTAGACTTAATGTGACCCTACTGATTTGTCTGAATCCAAAGAGTTAGTTGCTTTCTGATGCTAATTCACAGCCTTGAATCAACTGTTGAGGATTATGGCGTGTCCTTTTTCACTGGACCATTTTACACTGTATTTTGTCATGTTGAAAGAGAGCAAGGCAGATTTGAAATAATAAACACAGTTAGCAATGACACAGCTGAAGAAGTAAACAAGGAACTCATTGATTTCGTAATAAATTTACCTTACTTATTTACCATACAGGGGAAAATGCATACATTTTGTTGACTTTCACTGGTGAGGCTTGATGGGTGAACCAAGAATATAAAAACAAGCCAACGTTTAGTAACTAAATTAATGTTCTTTAGTCACTTAATCTGTACAAAAAAAGGAGGTCACATGAAACTGAAGTATGCTCCTGTGTCATTAAAACAGGAGGAGCAATTTACAAAATTACATGTGCTAGATATTTATACATGTGTGACTTGATCCATAATCTGCTGATATCCTTGCAAATATTCCCATTGGTTCCAGCTGGATACCACCATGGCTTCACTTTTGTCAAGGCATGGAGAAATACACTTCCCTTGGGATAGAATTAAGAAAGGACATAGCTACTTAATATTTTTTTCTTTATTCTGCACTTTGTGCAAATCTAGATCTCAAAGTAAATCAGTATTTACCGATTTGGGAGTTTTAAGGTCAGGTATTTGTATATGTGCAATCGTGCATATGTGCACAGCATCTACCTTTGATTTCTTTAAGGAGACAAGTTCTGTGGAAACTTTATTTTATTAACTGAGTTATACATTCATGCACTTGGCTCACTGGATTAGCCTACGTGGCTATTTCTCATTTCAGATCTGAACAATGGCTTGTCGAAAGAGGAAACTGTATCACACCGTATCAATCAAAATCAAATGTCACCGAAAGTCACTCTGGGAAAACAATGGCTAGAAAGCAATGCCTGTAACCTGGGAAGGAGACCTAGAACTGTGAATGAAGAGTCTTGTTTATGTTTACAGCATAATATAAGGATGTAATGAAGATACTTGATTTTTATAAAGCTAGCAGCTAAAGACAATTAGGGAAGCAACAGACACAGAAGGAAAGGAATTCAAACAAATTGCTGCAGGCAGGGTTGGCCTCAGCTTGAGAGTTTATGTAATTGTTTCTTGTTAATGCCTGCAGTTTAGCAACATGACTAACTCTGTGACATTTCAAATGTCTTCCTGAGAAATTCACTCACATTGAGTTTATGGATAAGGATATGAATGCAGCTGCAGGAAAATGTACTACAAAGCTGAATCTTTAGACTTCTAAGTGAATTGATATTGAAAATGAACAAATTGAAAGGAGTGAGACTGTTTTCTGGCTTCTGGCAAGTTGACGTTTTTACTGTTTCAAGCAAAGTGACAAGTCAGTCAAATACCAACAAAGAAATAGTAGAGCTAACCAGAGAAAGTAAGGGTTCTCCTTAGGCAGATTAAACACTGACAAAAGCTAAGAGTAACTGCCTATTTACATTACTGATTTATCTGGGAGGTGAAGCCAAGGACATTTTACCCCCCAAGTCCCTGATCCTTACAAAAATAAATAATTCTATAGCATTTAACTGCATACTCTGCAGCCTCACTGACTCCAGTGGGACAACCTGTAGAGCATAAAACGGAGGACACACACAATTCCTTGGATCAGATTTAAATGAATTGCAATCTTGTTTTCAAATGGTCAGTAATGTCCCAGACAGCAAACATGCCTGTGCCCTCCTGTACAGGCCACATTTTTTCCATTCCGTTTACATTATCACTTGCTAAATTTATCACAGTGCTTCCCTAACATTGCATAGCTTTTCTGCCTGGGCATTTCAAATATAGCAGAGCACACACTCTGACTGGCTGGTCACACTTTCGAAGAGAGACTACCACCCTCTAGAGCCACAACTTGCCAGCAAGTGTCTTACAAGGCAGCTTTCGGGAAACATTCATCTGCAAAGTTGCAGGGTGTGTTTACTCCACGACAACTGAATGAAGGGACACAGATCCATGCTGTGTCCTTCCTGCTGTGTGCTTTGTCATGTAGTTCAGATGGTCGGCATCTCTTTTCACTTCCTGCATTTCAGCTGAGAATGAGGAAGGAAGGAGGATGCTTAACAGGGAAACAGCACTTTCAGAAGTAAGTGATACCCCTGTGAGTTAGGGTGACCCTTGAAAAATAGGGTAAAAACTCTTAGTTGCATACAAAGCCAGCGCTGCATGTACAGCAGATGCATTGGGACCAATTTATTGGAAAACATTAAATGACAGGAAGCCATTTGGGAGCATTCAGTTATACGTACATGCAGCTTGGCTTAATCAACACGGTGTCTTTATGAAGGCATTTGACTTTTACATCTGTGTACAGAGGATCCTCAGAGTCGGATTCAGGTGAGATTTGAACCCCAGAGTTGAGAATGAGAGATTATTTCCTGATCTCAGACTCCCATAGTCATTAGCATGCTCCAGTCCTGGAACAGCGGGATGAACCACTGCAAAGATAGGAGCCACTTCTTTGCCTGCGCTTGGTACCCAAGACAGTAACTTGAGAGTACAAATTGCTTCAGCCCTGTTGCCTTCTGATAAGCCAGAACAGCCATCTGAGAGCTAGCCTGGGCATGTTTTTTCTATTATATTCTAGTCTAGTCTAGCCTATATTCTGGGTATTCACCAGATATCATAAGTCTTTGTGTCAAGCATTCAGCAAAGATCTCTTCTGCAAATAGGCTTGTGAGAAATAAGTTTCTTCCTTTCTAAATACACTTGAAACAGTCCCACCAGTGGTGCACTAACAAGCTGTGTAATATTTGTTTGCATGCTACTTTACTCTTTAAAAGGCAATCAGAAAATATGACTGTTTACAAATATTTGGAGTCAGTAAAGTTGTGCCTGCCACAAGATTAAAGGTAGCTTTATCTTCAGTGTAGATGCTAATGTACACACCTTGGACCAACAAGGTTGAGAGACAAGAGCCGTTAATTAATATATTAAGTATTTTTGAAGGATGGAAGTCAACATGCACTTTTCCCAGGGCCTCTTAGTATTTCCATTATTTAAAGAGCAAAAAGGAAACCAACACAGAGTTAGTCCATGATTTAATTAATTTTTGAACTGATTTAATTAATTTTCAAACTGAAGGCAGCAGCTATATTGCTTTGTGTCTGATGCGTCTTCCTTTTTTTCAACCCCTCTGCCTGTCTTTACCCTAAAAAACAAAGAAACAAAAAACACACACTTTTCAAGACCATATATTTTCAATATAAATGTTGCCATAAATATGTCTCACAATACTCTAACAGCTAGTGCTAGCCTTTTTCCATATAGCCAGAAAAGGGCAGAATGCAATTAAATCTCTTTTTAATGATGGGCAGCTGAAGTTAGGATGTGAGAGAATGACAAGAAAGTTGTTGATAACCAAGAGAATTTGATCTGTGAGAGGCTTCTTGCATGAAAAATAACGAGTAGTTTAGTATCAGTCTTCAAAAGGACTATGACGTGAGGCAGCAAATTCCTGAGAGAAGGAATACATGCAGGGTTTTTAGTAGACATAGACTGTACATCCTCTAATCTTCATCTACAGACTTAGAAGGACATATGCTATGTTCTTTTTGTGTACATGAAATGCCTTAGTTTTATTAAACACGTGCTATTAAGTACTATACTATATTTATACTAAATAGTGCAATTTGAGTTAACTTCAGTTCAGCTCTGAACAAAAACCACTCACACGAATGACAGCAAATACCCAAAATGCCTTTTCAGGGGGAAAGGATCAGGCCCTACTTTCACACTGCAAACACTGGTTCAGTGTGTCAGGCACCGCACTAGCCATTTTGTTACCATAACCTTGCTTGTTACCTTTTTAATTCTAACTGACAGATTTAGAAAATTATTACTTCTTCCTTAGAAGCGCAGGAGCATAAATCTGTAATCAGCTTGATGTCATATAATCTTGCTGGCCCTGTACTGGTGCTATGAGAAAACAACTACGAGTAGCAACTTCCACTGAACATGATGTCATGTTCAGCACTCAAGTTTGGGTTGACAGCTGGCAGCCCAGGGAGTCACACTTCACTCGGAGTTGGTACAGGAGATGATTTCCCAGCTCACGAGACCTGGTAGTATCTCCCACAACATCTCTGCGCTGGGGCAAATCAGGGTATGCATTGCCTTCATGTAATATCCCTCCCGCTTTCTGTAAAGTGGGAAATTCTAATAAGGATGTTGAAAACTAAGCTCTGGTGTATTCTGACCACAGAGAATACTTGCCATGCACTTCAGATGTGGCTTCAATGACTACACCAATACAGACAGAAGGCATGTGGATGCTGGTGAAACTGCCTTAAGCCGGTTGCAGTTATTCTTCTGATTTCACAATAGCGGCACAGCCTATCTGGCTCTCTGGTTTGCATCCAGTTTCCTTCTTTGTCATCAAGCATAAGGGCAAGCTCAGAATGACACAGGCAGTTGGAGATCAGATATGTGGTATTGTGAAAGCCTTGGTCATCAAACACACTTGTGCATTAGCCAGAAGCGTGATGTGGAGGTAGGGGTGAAGTTATTCAAGCTGTTCTCAGCACCTCGTGTACTCTCTGGGAAATGCTCCATCAGAAATTATTTTTAATGTTGTGACAGTTAAACTGAGGAGAAAAGAAATGAAAAAGTGTGCTACGTGAAATGCTCTTTATACTTTCCATGGCTGGTAAAGCTCCTCTACGTAAAAGAAAGTTATACTTATCTAATGCAAATAATGTGTGACGCAGAGAATTCTAGGCAATTTGAATCCTTAACATTCTCTTTCAGAGAGGAGAATAAAAACCTGAAAGCAGAAAGTCTTCTCTACGTGTATCTTTTCTATTTTATAATTAATGTTATTGTCACTTGCTCTAAGCTTTCTTTATGCTCTGTCATCTAGACAGTGCCATTATCTCTTTCCAGTGCCAGTTACTATGCAGTCTCTGGGCAGGGTAAGAAAAGAAAAGGCAAGAAAAATGGTGAATACATTAAAAGACAGTCTTACTGATTTAGATCAACCTTGAACTATGGTTGTTTGAAACGCCAGCAGCAGAAGTATATCCACCCCCTCGCATATGCAAGACTTTTCTTTGATATGTAGACCTATTGTTTTTTTCCCTGACAAATTTCATAAACACATGCATTTAATCACACAATACAAATCCAATAGTGCAATCACCTCTGTGACTTTTGCAGAGGCTTCCTGTATACTGAAGAGGAAGAATAAATAGCAAGTCAGCATGAACTACAGAGAGAGAGTTCCATCAAGGGTTTCTGGTGATGCTATAAACAAAATGAATCTCAAGTCACCAAAAACCTGTGCCAGAATCATAGCTCTATGCTTCAAATAAAACCTTGCAAAAAATTAACGTGCAAATGTAAAATTAATAGCGCTCATTTTGAAAGTGATGTAAGGCAGCACATCTTTAAAATGTGCCTGCCTGCTTCCCCATTCTTTAGTCTTCAGGAGGCTTTTTGTCAAGGGCATGTGCCTTGATTTTCCTAATACAAGCGAAAGCTGCCTGAATGCTCTCTGATTTGGATATGCATTTGTAAATGCTTTGACCAGTTTAAAATTCTGTTGGGTGGCTGGCCCTCTGATCCATACTGTCCAAATTATTTTAGGCCAGGCTGAATTCAGGACTATAATCACGGGGCAACACTAACAACTAACCCCTATCCATGGAGTTTTAATGGACACATTTTCTAAACATCATCCTATGTGTGTCCATTAAAACCCCACGGATAGGCGACATTTTCAGATATTTACAGCTTTCTTTGGACACAGTCAAGCAAAGAGGTAGGAGCCTGGACCAAGAGGGGAACTACAGCACTGAGAAGTGGCTGCAATGTACCAAGGTTTCCACCAAGGAAGAACTGAGCTGCCGCACCCCGACCTTGCCTAAGCCTGCTGCCTCACCCACAAAAGACAGCAAACCTGAGCAGTGTCCCTGGGAAGCCACATTATGGTCCAGTCGGTTGATTGCTTCTTTGACTGTGACTCATGAAACAGCCACATGCAAAACGCTTGTTTGTCCTCAAGTAGCCTCCAAGCACCATCTCTCTTTAAAAATTAATTCAGTCCAAACTGATGAATGGGGCTAGGTTGCTACCTCTACAAGAGAAAAATCGGTGGGGAAAGAAACACTAACAATTTTCTGCTTTGAAGCCTAAAATAACCCCTTTCATCCTCTAGCCTGATGTATTGTAAGTGACATCCTTTCCTTACATCAGCATCTGGAGACTATAATTATCCACATAATACAAGAGCTGGGGGAGTGTTTTTGTGATGCTTTGGGTTGAAGGATGCTTCGGAAGGCTAAACAGTGCTCACTAATAATAGGACCTCTAAGATGCTATATGTGTCTCTTTGTCCAAAGACCCCTTTTTTCTTCTGCCCTGAACCAATGGCAGGACACTGAGAAGCCAGTGCTCTGTCTTATCCTTCCCTCTCCTCTCTGCAGCTCTGGCTCCTGGAAATCCTGCCGTCCCACAGTTAATCAAGCTGCCCAATTTTTGTTGTGTCAGAGGGGCCTTTTCCTATTCACATTGTGAAGGGAAGCCTGCTTTGTCCTTCTAGTTTCCAGTCTGCCCCAGGATCTGCAGAGGGGACCAGGCAGCAGGGAGGAGGTGAGAAAGGAAAGCTGGGCTTCCGACATGCAGAGGGAAAAGAAACGAGCTGGCTTTACACCCTTTCAGGCAGAGAGACCTCTGAGAAAGAGAAAGAGGGTTTGTCAGCCCCCTGCCTGGACTGTGAGGGCAATAACAGCTCCTAGTTTTAATTTATTTTACCCATTGATTACCCATGGTGGCTTATGCAGAATGGCAGCTACAAAAGAGAAATTCTGAAGTCCACGGAGTTATTATCCCCTAAATCGTCTTCCCTTGTCTGATGTTTACAAACAGTCCATGGTGCCATTGACACAAGTATCACACTGACTTCAAGACTTTGCTGTGTATGTGAAATGTGAAAAAGGAAAGGAATTTGAAAGCCCCTGCTGTTACCTGAGTGCTTTCCATACTGAGCTGCTATTCATCACCTCCACATTCAAAGAGTTTACCCTTTGTAGAACCTCAGTGGTGCAAGCTTGCCAGAATTAAATTATTTAAACCCAAGCTTGCTGGAGCGTCTGCAGTTTGCACCTTTTGTCACATCCATGGCTGCATAGCAGGTTGAAGTGTAGGAAGAAATGGCAGTGACATGGCCAGAATCAGAATAAGATTAATCCGGCTTCCAGTGGAGCAAGAAGCAGTGAGCTCCCAAGTTTTCTGCATTCTCAGATGCTACAGCAGTGAAGAACAGCTTTCCCTGAAACTGAACATCAGCAGCGATATGCATTTATTATGTCTGCTGTTGAGTCACAAATGTCTTTTGTATGGAAACAAGCAGGATGTGAGGATAGCTATTCAAGCAGAGTTTTCCCCCCTGTGGAATGGCCATAGGGTGCCTATACTATTCTGGGACAACAATCACTCTGTGTCCCCAATTCTGCATGCTATGGCTAAAGCAGAGAAGGAGGTTTGTCTTCTGGAGAACAGAGGAGCTGGTCAGCACTGAAGTCAAGGACAGGCCTGTATTGCGTCCTGGTTTCCTTATATAGTATCCTTGAGAATTTTAAAGAAATCAGGAGTGCAACATAAAACCCTGGGAAAATTAACAAGCAATTTCTGGAATGGCCAATTTTTACAGTGCTGGAATTGCCAATTTTTACAGTGCTGGAATTGCTACTGAGCAGGATATCAGTCAAATTAACTTCTTCTCCCCTCAGCCCCTGCACTTGCCAAGTTCCCAGATATTTTACCAAGAAAACAAGAATTGGGGCACATGAGTTTTTTTGTCTGGATTTTGTCTAAGCTAAAGACAGTAAGCAAACCTTCAGGGAAAATGAAGAGAAAAGTAAAATTGGCTCACCCTTCCCACTTACTGCTTTAATAGAAAGGTTTGCAAGGAAATGAAACTTCAGGAAACACCATTTAATCCCACAGCAAACAGTCATTCTGTTTTTTCCCATGGAATAGGGTAAGCAGAACACAGATTGGCCTCTAATAAATGAGAAAACAAACACAC